AATATTTCTCTCTTTAGTGTGAGAGAATATGGTGAGCCTGGGAAGGGAGACAAAGAGATGTGAGACATGCCTGAAGAGGCAAATTTACTGTAAGGGGGGATATTGGAGATAACCAGTTTATAACCCACTACTTCCACAGTCCAAGTGTGAGTAGTCAAGGGCCAGGATTGTGATGTTTCCAGTGGCCATAAAGGGCTAAAGCTTAGCCCTTGAAAAGTTGATTCTACAGGATAATTATATAAACGTTATTAAGAAATTATGAAAAGTAAGGAGTTCTAGATTTAGCTGAGGTTGTGAGTTCAGGCAAGGGATGAATATTAGACTTTTTTGGGGGGAAAATGGAGATCATAAGGTCATCCACGGACATGTTGCATATATAGGGATGATAGTATACTTGAGTGGAATTATACTATGTAACCTAGGATAGGGAACTGGTGGAAGAAAGATCAGTGCTGAAAACTTCAATTTGGGTGTCATCTGCCTAGTGAAGAGAAAATTACTTATTGAGCAAAAGAGACAAAGAGTAGTGGGACTGACAAAAAATTAAAGTATCATAAATATCCAAAGAGCTATAAAGAAAACCAAAAAAATTGTAGTGTTATAACTTCCCAAGGTAGAACGGTTAACAGCATCAAATGCTACACAGAGGTGAGGACTATGAAGAGAATACTGAATTTGACAAATGGTTTCTGGGGACCATGGGAGATTGGGTAAGAAAAAGCATAGGTTTAGAGGCTCAGGAGTCATGATGGATTAAAAACAGATCAATATGATAGTAACTAACGGTTTGTAATGTGAAGAAACGCTTTTTGTTTTCACATGGGGATTTTTTTTTTTATTAACAATACTGTGGCAAGCATTGCTTGGCAGATTAGTAATACATCAGAAGGACAGTTTGTTGCAACCTGTCGGGTTACTTTATATTCTAATCCCATTTACATCATTCCATTCTCTAACAGCTCTGAATATGTCAGTCCCCTGCTTAAAGACCTCTTTGAATTCCTTGTTCCTGGCAGAAATTCTATGTCCTTAACTTATCAGATAAGATGCATTGCAATCTGATTCTAACCTCTTTGTCCCATTTCATTTTTTGCTACGGGGCATAGGCTATTTCCAGTTATTTGCAAGTCAATCTTTGTACATGTTATTCTCTCTTCTTGGACAATCCTTCTTCTGATTTTTTATGTGGAAAGTTTCACTTATCCTTCAACACCTGGCTCAGATGTTTTCTAATTTTTGAACCCTTTCCTGCCTTTACAGTCTCAGTTCAAGTCTCCATTTGTGATGCTTCAATTCTAAGTTGTTTCTTCATATCTTTGTCTCATCTTGTACCATTAGTCCTCTGTTCCTATAGCTGTGTTCTCCATTAGACTGTATCATCTCTGAACACAGGGACTGTCTTTTTATTGTTTTAACATCCATGGATAACAGAAAAAAAAAACTTGTGAAAAGTCTCAGAAATAAGTATTAATGTAAAAGTATATATCAAGGTTATAAGTTGGAAATTAAGAAGCATGTTAGTGCAAAAGACAAAGTTTCAGTTTCTTTTTCTGCTAGCTGTCTGTAACCATATATAATGAATGCAGTATGTGAAATGTGCATTCTGAATACGTTCTGGTACACTCATTATGTATTGGAAAATGGCTCTGGCATTCTACAATCTCAGCTTCAAATATAATCCCTGATCTTAAAAGCTGTTTGAATTTGAACAAGTTAATTTTTCTAAACCTGACTTTTCTAATTTTTGAATGAGGATAATACTTACCTTGTAGTGTGGTTGTAAGGATGAAATTGACAAATATATACTAAATAATTGAATTATCAACATTTAGTTATTGGCAATCTTAGAATTATTTCCAACCCCCACCTTCATGGCTAGAATCTCTTATTAGTTTCTTATGTTGCATTTGGCTCTTCTGAAATTTAACTTTTTCTAAAGATAAGGGTTTATTTTCTAAAGGTAAATTTTGATGTTTGGAAACTTAGTTTTTTAAATTTTTACTTTATTTTTCAGTTGAAAGGTAAACAGAGAGCGAGAGAGAGAGAAAAGGAGAGAGAAGAAAGATCTTTGATCCCCTAGTTCACTTCCCAAATGTTGGCAACAACCAGGGCTAGGTCAGGCCAAAGCCAGATATCCCACATGGGTGGCAGGGACCCAAGTACTTGAGATGTCCCCTGTTGCATCCTAGGCTGTACATTAGCAGGAGAATGCAATCAGAAGCAGAGATAAGGCTTGAACCTGGGAACTTGGGACCCCAAGTAGTGCCCTAAGTTCTTCACCAGATTTCCGCTCCATGATGTTAGAAAATTTAAATTCCAGCTTATCTTTAGGCAGGAGTACATCATCTACCTAAATGATGCTACCTGATAAATAATACCCATTTCTGGCATGAGGTGAATTGAACAAAGATTTAGAATTAAACATACGGGTTGATTTATGAAGTTCACAATTAAGTTTGAATTTCTTACGAGTTTCCAGATAACTTCCTGATAGAGGCTTAGCTTTGAGGTTTGCCAAGCTGGATCTAAGGACACTCTTTTTGTCTTATCTTCAGGATTCTATTTTCCTGAGTTAGATTAGCGCTTTCCATTTTTTTAGCAGGATTTTTGTGATTAATAAAAACATGTGCTTACAGCTCTTTTTTGCATAGATAAAGGAAAGGATTCCACATCAGATTGAGATCAAGAGATGAGTTTTCAGAAGAAAATGATAGATATGTCCTCTGGGAGCAGGGGAATGCAGCATGTTCCATCTCTGGCTGATTGAGTTTATGGCATTTAGGAACCTTCCACACCCACACCCTCACAAAGATACAAACAGTGGTCACAACTGCAGCTCCAGACACTACCGCTTCCTCCTGTCTCATCTCCAAAGTGCATCCATTGTTTTCCATAACATGAAATAAATCCCTCTCCTTTGCCCAGTGGTGAAAAGTTTATATAAATACTAAAACTTCAGCTGTTCCCTTGAGTTTTCTGTTGGCTAGCCTGCAGACATAGGTTTGTTTGGCTATTGACATACATTTTCTGTGCAGATCTTTCAGACCACTTGGATGAGTTTAGTAGAGATCAATTCACTTGTCATGAAATTTTATCAGAATAAATATTATAACACTCTGTTTATGAAAGCTTAAATAATTGACACTCTGATTGAAAAGACTCTATGTTCAAAATATCTCCTCTATTCTTTCAGCATATATCATTCTGATGATATATGTATATATATATTTAAGCAAGTCTTGTCCCAGGAGATTATTTTACCAGTCATCAAAAAGAATATATAAATGTTAAGAATTGATTAGAAGTAAACTATTTAATCTTGTGTCATAGTATTCTCATGAAATAATTTCCCCCAGTATTTATAAATGAAGTATTTCGTTGCATACTAAATAGGGAGAGTTAATACTACTGGGCTGAAATTAAAATGTATATTGAAGAATTTTTATCCATAACTTTAAAGACAAAAGAGAAGGCATTGTATTTTAAAGACAAGAATCAATGCTTAGTATATACTAACCACTCACTAAAATGGGTACATGAATAGGATTTGATTCCTAATGAAATATAATACTAGCTCCATTAAAATTTTTCATTTTATCTTATATAAAAATTTACATGATTTAGAGCAGCATTTAACATAGTGGTTAAGGTGTTATTTGAGACATGTGATGGCTCATATAATTAGGTTCCTTCTACCCATGTGAGAGACCTGCATTTATTTCCTGGCTCTCAGCTTTGGCTCTACCTGGGGGCCATTTCAGGCATTGGGGGAGTGAACCAGTGAATGGAAGCTCTGTCTCTGACTCTTGAAAAACATTATATGATTGGACATCCTTGTTCCTGAAGGAGTCCATCTTTTAGAGAATGCATTAATTCTAGTTTTCATTTCTCTCTTTTTCTTCCCTTTTTATCTATTAAACAGAAATTAGAGAAGTGCCCTCTACTGTTTGTAGGCTTTATTTTTTGAAAAATTGTGAAAGAAACATGTTTCTCTAATAGTTTCCTATGGAGTCTGCAGATCTGAGACTAATTCTAGCTTTTTAGTGTACCAGAGAACTGTATACAAGCCCATGAATACTAAATATTTCCATAGTTCCACTAGTCCTTGTGTATTAGAGAAGCATTTTATCTTCTGGCAATTATCTTTAGATGATACTTTAAAAATAACTTTGGTGGCCTAGATTATTAGTTAAAGTAGTTTGCTACTTTATCAATTAACAATTCTGAAGTTCTTCAAATGTAAAGTATGATTGTTGTTTCTAAAGATCCAAGATTTTGTTTCTGTGTTCTCTGTTTTAACAGATGAGATGTATAAAATATTCAGTCTCATTAATGAATTAGTTCATTAAGACCTAATAGAGAAAGTAAAGGAAATCAAATATATGTTCATGTCTGTACAGTCAAATTTTAAATGATAGTGGGAGCAAAACAGAGCAAAAGGAATTAAACAAATTTGAGTTTTGTTGACTGAACTGTCTTTAAAAATAAACAAGCGGCTAAGATCATGTTTAAGATAATGCATGTTACATCTAGCTTTCTTTTTAAAAAATCACATTAGTTTGTTTTTTTGTATTGAGGAATAATTGAGTCTATCAGTGTTTACCCTAACATGATGCATTATAGCTGAGGTCTAAAAACATTTTCTATATATAATGATTTCATGCTCAAATTTTAATTATGTAAATTATTAATACCATTTTCCATCCAGTCTCTCTTTCCTAAGGAATTCTCTGTCAGTGAATACATAGGGATAGAAATAGGAAGAATTGTATATCCTATGGTGCATTTGTTTAACCCTGTGATCTCAGAGGTCATTCTTATCAAGGCTGCTTGAATCATTTCATAGAGACAAAATTCTCTCTCCCCAAAGCAGGAGTAAGAAAAGTCCAACAAATATATTGGTAATTCTTGGTTACTTTGAAAGAGGGCTACACAAGAAAAAAGGTTGTGTTACATTCTTTAGCATGTAAAAGAATGCATCCATTTTGGTCTTTTCCTAGGTTTGAAGAAGAAATGACCAGCAAGTGGTTACAGCTCTTTGAAGGCAGTGGGGTCCCATATGGTCCAATCAACAACATGAAGGATGTATTTGCAGAACCCCAGGTTTGTTTTTTGATGTTTTTAATCCACTGAGTTGAACATCATAGGAATTTGCTTTTCTTTTCTATCCAAATTGATTTCTGTAAAGGTGCGTTAAGTATTGAGCTTTAGTCACAGAATGTGATTTTTCACTGTCATGTTCAAATTGCTTGTGGATTTGAAATGAATCTGCATTTAGAACCCGCTGTCTACAGTCTTACTTTTGTGTATGTTAAATCTAATATACTTCTTCATCAGCTACTACGTGAAGTTTACAAGGTCTGGATTTTATTTTTCCTGAAAAACAGAAATACAGACACTTAAGAAGTTGGAGTCAGGCTCTCAGAAATCATTCCTTGTTCAAAGAAATAAAAGAACTTTTACAGTTATTCACAGTTACAGCCCACCTCTGGTTATATGACTATCTTCAAACATACAAATGAAGTCATATTTAATTCTCCAAGATAGAGACTTTATAAGCTTTAATTAATATTTGTTGTTTGTGAGGCATACAGTATACTTATAAAAAGATTTGTGCAGTACCTTGCTTAAGAGGCTCCTTCTTGGGACCTAGGAAGGAGGACCACCTGAAAACCTATTTCATCTATGACATTGTCCAAATGATTATTTTGGATAATGTCAAATAAAATAAAATAAAATTTTATTACTTCAGTCAGGATAACTATAAGCAATTTACCACATCTCAGATTCATACTTTATAAGGTAGAGAAACCCCATTTTTCTGTGAAACTTTCACTATGATTAGTCATGTATCTTGTCAGTTTAAAACATTTCAAATTATAATCTTTTGGTCCACTTTGTGTTCTTTATTTACTGGCAAGGTTTTTTTCTTTGAAAAAAAATTACTGAAATGAAATGTTTCTTTTTGAGGGAGAGATTTATTGGAAAAACTGATCTATCTTGTTAACATTGCTACCTATATCTTATATAAATATCTGTTTGAAAGAAAATTGAATGCATTTTATCCAATGGTTACAATATATACTGGAAAAAAAGTTCACAACTCAGAATTTCTTCATGATATTTTTTGCCAAGATTGTGATTATAGTAAGGTTTAGTTGAAATAAAACAGTGGGCAGTAAATATCTGAGATGGGGGCCCCACTTGGTGTATTCTTGTGTGAGTTCATCCGAAGGGGACTTCACTGATTCTTTGCAATGGGGCAGCTGTGAACACATCCTGAATGTAGACCAAAGAGCTGGATTTCTCTCCTCATAGTTTTAAATGAAATCGAACACCATTTTAAGCTGTTGTCTGTGGTACTTCATGTTTTCTCAATTTGAGGGCACGTTTTCCTAGAGATATTTCATAAGGATTTTTCCATCAGCATTTCTGTTGCTCATCTGTGTTTTATTAGGGATAAGGGCAACAAAGCAAATAATATTTTTAAATGTCATTAGATATATTCTAACATTACCTACTTTTAGCTATTGATAAAGATCTTACATCCTACTGACTACTTTAAAATCATTCACTTTATGTGTAAGAGTGAATATAGGCTAGTTTAGATTTTCACACCTAATATTACCTTGGAGTTCATTTTAGTTATTTTAATTGTTGCAACTACTTTGGATCTGCAAAAAATTTTCATTACCTATAGCACATTTCTAGTGGGCACACATTTAGTCCACTTTCCAAATGGAAAAGACCGGTGTTACCTAAGCCAAGATACCGTAAAAATCTCTACATACTGCCCTCTTATCCTCTAAAATTGAGATTCTAGATGTTACAGTTCTAATATAAAAAAATACGTAACCATACAGTGATAGTTATTGACAGTTGTACCCTAGTATCAACAGTACTGTTCGTGTTAGTCACCTTCATATAGATTGCATTCTTTGAAATTTAAATAATACTATATATACACACACACACACAATTTATCTGGATTATTAGAAAGAATAGAGAGTAATGTAATACCCTTTCATTTTTATAATAAGCAAAGATGACTATGGAAATTCTAAGAAGGACTGTTCTACACAAGAGATAAGGGTACCATCTTTTCCTTATACTTGGAAATGTTTGTCCCTCTTAGAAAGAATTCTATAAATTTTGAATTTTGGAAGGATGATAGTATGCAAAAAAAAATCTAAAAAAATTTATGCAAAGTACATTATTAAAAACCCCTTAAGATGACATCTAAACATGACCACTTAGAAAATTTGTTTATTCAATGAACCTCAAAATATTTTTTGAAATACAGTATATATACCAAGAAATGCATGTAAGTGTACAGATAAGTGAGTTTTTTGTCCTCTGATCACACTCATACCAACATCCAAATTAAGAACAAAACATTACTCTCAGTACTGCAGATGTAGTATACATGTAGTACTCTCTGCCTTTCCGGGAAATACATTCAAAATTACATTGTGCCTGCTTAAATAGTAGGTACAAAATAAATATTTAATGACTTGTGAATCAGCAAATGAATGAACTGCTTAACTCAGGAAAGTGTAGTTTTTCCAAATGATCGGGTGGCTTCTCTGTATCCCTGACAGGCTGACGGCTCTATTCCTAGGGTTGTTTGGAAAACATCTGGTGATATCAGGAGCTTGAGGATTAAATTGGTGGGCAGTTTTATAAACGTTCTAGGATTTTGTTTTTTTAGCTGTAAAATGGTCCAAAAAAATCTTATCTGTTTTACCGAAAGTGTGAACGAAGGTGTTTATCAAGGGAGCAACACTGACATTGCTGTAAAGTAAATGCGCAAGGTATGGCAATAGCTATGGTTACCGTTGTGCCCTTTTATGGTTATAGTCTTGATCCACATATCTTCTTTTACCTACTGCAGCTTAATAGATAGAGACAAATCCAGTGTAGCTGTGAGGATGGAGATCATTAACTTAAAATATTCCTCATTTATTATTGGTGAAAAATCCTTTAATTTTTATATTCCATAGAAGATTTTGTAATTATAATTTCCATTTGAGGTGTCCTCCCTTGCATTCCTTCTGATGAGCTGCAGAGTTACTTGGCCGTGGGTGCAAGGAACTGGTCACTTGTGTTCAGATATGGGAATGCACTGCTGGCGCAGTGGCTCTTCTCTCCATATGTGCTGTGCCAGCACAGCTGCTCATTCAAGTGAAAATTGCTTTGGGTGAAGTACAAGGCCTGGAACATGGGGCAGGAAGGAAGGCTTTGATGAAGTGAAAAGGGGTATGTCTAACTGGAAAAAAAAAAAAAAAAGGACTGACAGCCTCAAGGATCAGGAGAACATTTTGTGTGCCTACTTGCCAAATAGATCATTTACCTTGCATTTGTGGTTTGAAAATCTTGGTTGGGAACAAAACTATACTTGATGGTAGAAACTGTAACTTAACAATTTCATTATAGTCTCATGTTCTAAGGAAACCTGATTTTTTTTTTACTCAACTGAAACAACAGATGATGCATTTTTTTTGGATAGATGGGAGACTGTCTACCTTTTATCCTCTGATCATCTGCTACAGACCTTTGCAAAGTTAAAATGATCTTACAGGCATCCACTGTTAAGTTAATCAAGAATACTGTGGGGCTTTTAGTCTGCATTTACTGATAGTTCAGAGAAGTTTTGATCCAAAATCCTTAAAGTGTTAGTTTTATTATTTTTCTCTCTTTCTCAGTGACAAATTATCTGTGGAAAGTACTGTGCATTACAAAAGTATAGTATAGATTATGGGCATATAGATTTTAATAGCTAGTCATTTTTCCAAGTGCTTTCTTAAAATATCTTCTTTTAATCAGACCAAGATTGTGCAATACATTAAAGGAATTCTTAAAAAGTTTCAAAAACTTACTAGATGACCTCAGTATGGTCCTATTTAACATACCCTTGGGAACATGTGCGTGAAATACATTGTGGTTTGAGGGTTTCCAACTCAAACAAACTTAAAAGAAAATGCAACCTTTTAATAGAAACTATTCAAATTCCTGCAAAAATAGGTATGGATCACACCAGCAAGAGAGCTTAAAAGCATCGTTTTCTATACTATCAAAAGAAAATGCAACATCATGCTTTTAGATTTCACTTAAGACTGTATATTTAGTTATTCTAGTGCATCGCCACCTTTGAACTGCTCACTTAAAAAATACGAATGATTGGAGCCTCTGATTAATGTTTTTCTTTGTCCATGATGCCATGACCTGAGGGTACAGAAGAGAAGGCAAAGGGTGACACAAATCCCATGTTATTTAACCAAGTCTTCACATTTATACCACACAAGTTGAATATATCTGGTGTAAGGCATCACTCTGAAGCATCACTTCTGAGAACTATTGGGAGGGAAATATCAGAATTATTGAAATATCACAGCTGGCCGTGATTTTAACTGGTGCCAAACACCTGCAAGCTCTAAAAGGATACCAAAACAAAACCCCACCCTGTGGCGGCAAGCCATCCCTTAAGAACTCTTCCTTAACTTTGCATCACCATCAAAATTAATTTAACATTTTCTACAGAAACTTTATTCTTCCTGTCCCAGAAGGCCATTACAACTCCTTTAGCAAATCATTCATATGGGATAAATATGTCATAGAAAAGGGGTGAAGTATTGAAATATTTGATAGCTGACAATTATCTTTTGTTTTCATCTCATTACTTGTGGAAGCCTGTGAAGTTGGAGGTTTTATTAATCTCTAGGCAAGCTCATATTCTCTAAGTGATTTTGTTTTAGCATATTTTGGAAAAATATCTGAGCATCTGGGGGAAAAGAGCCTTCAGTATTCATATAGTAAGCATCAGAATGATGCCAAAATGCAAAGCTGTCTTTCAAGAATTTTCTACCCCCCTACACACTACACGTACTGCTGATGCATTTTAGAAATTACCTCTTGAAAGACATTAGTTAACTTTTTTCTGAAATGCCCTCAAAGGGTTATGCAGGTCAAGCAAAATTATGCTCTTGTCTCTAATATGGTGGCCTCTGCAAGGGAAAAAATTATTAAACATCTGAAGTAAAATAGTATATCTGGAAATAATTTTTAGAAGGTGAGAGAGATAAAAATATATTTTGCATGTAAGTATGAGTATATATGACACATTTTAGATGAAGAACAAATTAAGATGTATTTGTGTGTGTTTGCTTTATGATAGTGGCTATATTTTCAAATTTTTGAAGTTATAATAGATTTAAGAGTTTATGACTAAATGAAACAAAGTGTTCAAGGCTTCAATTTTATATTAAAATATGAAGTATAAGGCAATAATATCCAATTTTATTTTGTTGACTTGAGAATTTTAATGCAAAAAACGTGTAAGAGGAAACCTATTGAAACATTAAGTAAAAAGTAAGCACTTCATATAACACTACTGGAATTGTATATTCAGTTCAAATATCTAAAATATTTGGATGCATTTGAATTAACACCAATTCCTTTGAATGGCCATGCTTATATGTTCTTAGATTTCCTAGTAGAATACATGGGACATTGCTCAACTGGTATTTTCATTAAAAGGTAAAAGGCATAATAGAGGAAAAGGAGACCATAATCACTTCTTCATTCAGTAAACAGTCACTGATGACCTTCTCTCTAAATATAGTCTTATGTTAGATATCTGATGGAAGAGGGTGAATCAAGAGGCAAAACTATCTAACACCCAAAGAGGTTGCAGTCTAGTTTAGGCAGAAAGTGTTCACATAGAATAGTTATGTGTAAATGACCAGAATATTTAAATTAAAAATTATTTGAGAGACAGAAAGATATAAAGAGAACTCCCATCTGCTGGTTCATTCCCCAAATACCTGCAATGGCCAATAGCTGGGAACTCAATCCAGGTCTCCCAGGTAGGTGGCAGGAACCCAGTTATTTGAGCTATCACTGCTACCTCTCAGTGTCTTCAGTGGCAAAAAGTTGTGAGGAGCTGGAGCTAGGAATCAACCCCAGGCACCCGAACAACTAATCTAAATACTTGCTTCCACATGAATACTTTTAATAACAAGGCCTAATAGATATAAAGCATTGTGATTTCCATATTTAATGATTTAGCTAAAGTTTAAAAATCTTAAAAATCTTAGAGTTACAGAATCTCTCTTTCTGATATGTTTTATTCTGATATTTTTAAAAATAAATTTATTTCTTTAACAGATAGAGTTATACAGTGAGAGAGAGAGAGAGAGAGACAGAGAGACAGAGAGAAAGGTCTTCCTTCTGTTGGTTCACCCCCCAAATGGCCACTGTGGCCAGAACTATGTGGATCCAAAGCCAGGAGCCAGGTGCTTCCTCCTGGTTTCCCACGTGGGTGCAGGGGCGCAAGCACTTGGGCCATCCTCCACTGCCTTCCCGGGCCACAGCAGAGAGCTGGACTGGAAAAGGAGCAACTGAAACTAGAACCCGGCGCCCATACAGGTTGCAGGGGGAGGAT